AGGAAGAGACAAAGCCCGCAGCTTCTGCTTCAAAGCCAGCCCAGCAACGTGCAATGTTCGGATGGGACGACGAAGACGATGAGTTCATGAGCGACAGTGAGGACGAGGACGAAGTATCGGAAGAAGATGTGAAGCAACCAGAATTTGTTGGCAAGGGCAAAGGAAAGGTCGTTTGAACCTGTGTGTCAAACGTGATTTCGTTCGACTGATTGCATTGCGAATACTTGATTGTATCATCAGAGGTGTTATGGAACGTGCTCTGGCTTTTTCGATTTTAGATACCCAAATACCACTTTAATTCTATCAACCTACGATTGAACTGCAGAGAGTACTTACAATAAGCCGTATAATGGAAACATTAAGGAACTTGAATTTAAGGCGCTCACTCCTCTCCTCAAATAACATTTAATCCAATTGGAATGCAGTTCCTTTCGAGCGCACGGTATTCGCCGACGGAGAACGTGGGTGTCAGGCGCGGGTCGCGCCTTCTTGTTATCGGCTTCCGACCCACGTCTCCAGCGACTAGGCACATGTCATGCCATCCTTCAAAGATGCCGACGTGCCCACGCCTTTACATGCTGTGCACTTCTCCTCTTTCTCTTGATTCAATACCCAATGTCTTCACCGATCAGCAGGTTCACCCCTGCATTGCGCATTGCAAACAGAAGATACCCCACCTTGAGGTGTGCCGCACCTGCCTTTAGCTCGAGGATTCCAGCGAGGGCTTTCTCCCAGTCGCCAAGATGGCAGATCAGAACTAAAGAGATGAACGATGATTTATTGAAAGACTTGAAAGTCAATCAAGATCGATTGATGGAGGACATTCACTATACGTGTCAATGGGGAACTGGAGAACGGTGGGGCGAGTACGACTGTGCCGTCTCCAATCATCCTTCACAATGCTTATCAAATATTGCAGCAAACCAACGGAGACGGGCATGTCTCGCCTTGCTCTTTCTGATGCGGATAAAGCTGCACGTGACTGGTTTGTCTCGACTACAGAAGCCTTGGGATGCAAAACTACCATTGATTCCATGGGCAACATCTTCGCTGTTCGTCCAGGATTACGGAATGACAAACCACCCACTTTTGTGGGAAGTCACCTCGACACGCAACCTACGGGAGGCCGCTACGATGGTATCCTCGGTGTTACTGCGGGTGTAGAAATGTTGAAAGTATTTGCTGACAATTGGGTCGAGACGGAGTATCCTGTGGGAGTAGTAAACTGGACAAACGAAGAAGGTAAGACGAGCGTTTCTGCGTGTCTATCCTGTGACTAATGAAGAAGGTGCGCGATTCCCCAAGTCTATGGTATCATCAGGTGTCTGGGCTGGCGCGATACCACTAGAGGATGCGCACAATTTGCGTGAAGTGCATCCAGGGACCGCAACGATGGCTTCAGAGCTCGCAAGAATTGGGTACTTGGGCTCAACGCCAGCTAGCCATGAAGCCACACCCATGGCCGCTCACTTTGAGTTGCATATTGAGCAAGGCCCACTTTTGGAAATGGCGAACAAGAAGATTGGTGTTGTGACTGGTGTACAAGCCTATAAGTGGCTCACAGTCAAAGTCAAAGGACGGGATACACATACAGGAACTACGGACTTGAAGTCTCGTGCAGACGCGCTCCTCACAGCATCAAAAATGATTCTACACTCACACCGGTTGGCAACTGCCAATTCAGCATTAGTATCGACGGGCATCTTGAACTTGAAGCCTGGATCCACAAACACCGTACCTGGAGAAGTAACATTCACGCTGGATATCCGATCACCTAAGGACGAAACGGTAGCGAAGATGAAGGAGCTCATTTTGCGGGACTTTCCGAAGATCGCAGCCGGCGAAAATGTAGAAGGCTCGAATGAAGGATGCACCTCAGGCCTCCCTCTATCCGTCGAGATTGTTGAGGACTTCAACAGCCCGGCTACCATATTCCACAACGATTGCATTTCTTCGGTTCGCGCTTCAGCTTCCTCGGTTCTGGGCCCCAATAGCAATAGCCTTATCATGGAGATGACTTCTGGAGCTGGTCATGATAGCGTGTATGCCAGCCAACGATGTCCCTCGAGCATGATCTTCATTCCGTGCAGAGAGGGCGTCAGCCACAATCCGAGGGAGTTCTCTAAGGAAGTTGATTGTGCTCTAGGTGCTCAAGTCTTGCTACAGAGTGTTGTTAGGTTTGATCGCATGAGAGACGAGCGGAGGGTAAGTTGGAAGCAAGAACCTTGGACCATCTGAGTTAGGTAATGACTGTTATATTCTCAAAACAATAATTCTCATCATATCTTGTAGATCATCCTTCTCCTTGATATTACTGAACTGTTCCACCCAACCACATCGAACGCATTGCAATAGCCATGACTGCCCAAAGTCTCATTCGTATTCCCTCTTCAAACCCCAACACACGAAAAATAACTTGCCCATCGAGACGTCCCATTATTCCAAGCACTGTACTGCGCCTCAGTGATCCTATTCGCTCTCAAAAGCTCCGAGAAGTCCGGCTTTCCTGTAGCATCAGTGTATACCCACTTCTGGCAATTGGCTACCGACGACGGATAAATAGGCGCAGGTTTATCGCTCTCGGCGAAAATGTCGCCAGCTCTGGTGGGAATGTATGTATATCCCGGTACACCGATGCAGACATACGTGCCGTACAAGAGGCCGGTACAGCTTCGCCCAGAGTCACTTATGGGTTGGTGGTCAGTATGCCGGGGTTTTAGCAGAGTGGAAGGGGGTGTGGGGACTTACGGGTTCCAGGAGTAAAACGCAGTGGTGGTAAAGTTTTTGAAGTTGTTGGCGATGCCGACGCAGGTGTTGTCTCTTTGGACAAGGTAGTATGCAAGACCTATTTTGGATTAGTATTTCTAGTTACTCTTTGAGAGATGGGTTGCATTACAGTTGCTAGGCGCGGCGGCAGCGGGCATGGCAGCTGCTGAGGTGAAGGTGGCCAGCAGCGTAAGTGCAGCCGCGAAGTTGATGGCAACCATTGTGATAGTTCGAAGTGTTTTGAATACTGGATCTGCAAAGAGGGTTTGAAGGCGGGTGAATAGATCGTGAGTTGATTGATGAAGAAGATGTTCCTAGATTCTCTCGACTTCAATGGCTGCTTTATACTTTCAACAACGACACCGAGTACAGTCGGGATATTCAGTAATACGAAAGCATGCCTAATACTCTCGTGTAAGTTTCTCGACGACTGAGAAACTCTGGGTCGATATATCAATCCCAAGGAAGCCCCTGTTGGCATGCTATCGAAAGTTTAGACTACAAGTCACGCTCTCTGCCAGAAGACCTAGCAAATTATGGGACCTCGAGGTAGAAGTAATCACAGTGAGCTATGAGAGGCCAGTGTTTCTGGTAGACATGTTCGAATCAGGCAGTCGCAATCTCTTTCGAGCATGCTAGGGATCGGCGCAGTCGACTACGCAACGCAGGTCCAGAACGTTGCCTTAAGCTTTACGCCCGATACCTTAAGCTTTACGGTTCAGTATGCAGGTCGTGAGGAGATTAATATGGGATTCTCACCGTTGCCTTGTAATCGGTATGGATTTACTTATAGGGCTGACTATGACCGGTGAGCGCCACAGGGGTCCTGTTCCAATAAATCTATTTCCGCTGTTGAGATCTTTGAGATCAGGCCTATCCGGACGAGAGAGTATAGTTTTATTGCCGAAGTTTTGATCAGAGGAGATGCGCCGTTCGTAGACATAATCGGGCTCGTAGTTCGGGGCGACGAAGGTGCTTTGTGCATGACAAGCTGAAATGGCAAGGTCGACTCGGCATGTTGAATTCGAGAGGACATTGACATCCAGCTGGTAAATTCATGCCATGAATATAGTCAAATTGACAAAGCTGGAAGTGTATAACTAAATCGATTGCATTGTGTAGAAGTATTGGTCGGACCAGGCAAGGCTGCAAGCGGGGCACGTCCATCCGGTGCACCAGGCAGTCGTGAACGAACATTCCAACACCAAACTATGGCCGAATCCAACACCTCCAGAGCTGTCGTTCACAAACCTCCAATCCGACCGACTGTCAAATCGCCATCGGTCATTCTTTATGGAGCCATTCAATCCGACCCCGATAAAGACTGGCAAACCAGCCTTGCAAAGTCCCTTTCCGACCTCCCAGTCACGATTCTGAATCCTCGCCGCGATGACTGGGATAGCACTTGGGTGGAAGACATTTCATTTCCAAAGTTCAAGGAGCAGGTAGCATGGGAAATGGACTATGCTCAAGTGGCCGACATCATTGTGTTTTACTTTGCGCCTGGAACGCTAACACCAATCACGCTTCTGGAGCTGGGGATGTACGCTGGAACTGGCAAAGCAATTGTTTGTTGCCCTGAGGGGTTTTACAAGAGGGGAAATGTGCAGATGGTTTGCTTGAGATATGAGATTGAGTTGCTAGGAACGCTGGATGAGTTGCATGAGACAGTTCGAAACAAGGTTTTAGAGAAGATGGGAGAGTGATTGTACACCATCTTCCGATTGTGGATTCTACCAGCTTGAGACCTGATCGTCCTATGAATTTCTCTCTCTCAGTTCCGCTCATTTTGCTTGAAGCTTGTTTGTCTTACGTTACAAACTATAATTGTTAGATCTGTACCAAGTCCACTTCAGCTAGCACAAAGCAAATATGCGCCATCCGCACATATATAGTAGTGCGCCATCCGCACATATATAGTAGCCAATTCGAGTGAGATCTATCAGTCAGATTCATATATTTACACATTACTATGCATTTCTCTAAAATTCCCAGCAGTCAGTCCGGCTTTTCTCTACAGCATTCGCATCTAGACTGTTGTTTGTGACAGAGCGCGGGCAAAGAATGTTCTCTATAACACCGTTTCGTTCGGTCTCCTCACCTTTCCGATGCTACGTTCACAGAGGCAAAGGAAGAAAGCATGCACAACAACCAAACATTCTCGGTCGCTGTTTGTACTCCCGGCAGTGGAAAGAATAACCGAAAAAAAAAGTGCAAAAAGAACAGCAAAAAAGTGACCCCATTGCGACTCGAACGCAAAACCTTCAGGATACTCCGGTACAAAACTGGAATCTGACGCGCTACCATTGCGCCATGGGGCCAGTCTAATTTTAGGAAAATCTTCGATTACACAAACTATATACATACAAATTCCAAAGATTACGATCAAACTGGATGTGGCGTTGAACAGCCCTTAGAAATCAGCAAGAAAAATACTGGCCTATTGTGTAGATCTATGAGTCATTTATTCGCCTAAAATTACCTATGCAACGAACCGCGTCTTGGCAGGACCAGCCCTCCTATCAGACGCGACCTCCGCATCATCATACCTGCTCAATCAAAGCAAGTCTTCGTCATCCTGAGCGAGGATTTCCTCAATCGTCTCGCCCTTTACTTCATCCTCAGAGGAAGACTGCGGGGCTGCGACAGGATCATCCTGCCCACTTACCTTCTTAAGGAATTCCGTATATTCGTTGACGAAGTTGAGCACCAGGAACGACGAAGTGGTGCGAGTGTCTACATCCTTGTCCCACAGGTCCTCGTACCACTCATTTAGCATTGTACTATACGGCTCGTAGCCGCGCGACACACCTGCCAAATCCCAAGAGACCCTAAGATCTTCCCGTGTCGCATCGAGTGGTCGAAAGACAGTCGGACGTTTTCTGCGCCATTGAGGTCGGGTCCACTCGTCAGAAAGTAAGTGCGGAAAGCTTGTATCGCCTCGTGAGAGACACTCCGCAGCAAAGGCCTGCTTAGATTGGACTGGGGTGATTCCAAACACAAACGACTGGATAACTGCCCCAAGACTCCACATATCGACTGCTGGAGTCACAGCCCGACATTGTTCCTCATAAGGGGGTGCGTATTCTGGCGTTCCTTGCCACCTACGATTTCTACCTTCGCTTGGTGTGCCATATGGGGTGAGTCTGGCCAGATCTGTGATCTTGAAGATCGGCATCTCTGGAACCCCATCGGCCATATCCCAGTTGTCAGGGGGACATACGAGGATATTTTCTGGCTTCAGGTCACCGTGTACCCACCTCGTGTGATGACCGTCGTGCAGGAAGTGTAAACCTAGGGCCATGTCTCGAAGAAGCTTCCATATCGAGAGCTCTGATGTGCGTCTGGGTCGATCTTTGTCGTCCTCCTGCGCCCACCATCGTGCACGGTAGAAATGCAAATCCCCGAGTTCGCAGAATTCGAGAAAGATTGCGGGGGAAGGGACATGGTCCTGACTGAAGGCAATTAGCTGGACAACGTGGTCATGCGGACCAAGTCTGACAAAATTGTTCGCCTCTTTGTCCATAACTTCGGCGTTCTGGGCGCTTTGCTGCCTAGGCACTTTGACAGCAACCAGGCTTCTTTTTCTAGTATGCTCATAGAGGTGGACCAGTCCATCTCCTCCTCTACCGAGTGTGTCCTTCTTCACGAATTGAAGTTGGAATCTCGAGTAGACTGTCAAATCTGCCTCAGGATATGGTCTTACCGCTCCGTCCGTGAAGGTATAAGAAGTTGAGGATTGAGTTTGATCCGCCATTTTGAGATTGATCGTGCGTCAAGCAGGCAATCTGTAGGCGGAATAGGGGTTGTTGATTTTGAGGGATGATAGAATTGGAAGGAAGAATTCAGAATGCTTGTTATAGAAATCATGAAACATGAGAAGAGAACAGTATCCACTGTGTGTAGGTGTTTGGGAATCAATGTGGTTTACTGTAAGCGTAACAATTCGTCTAGAAGGGAGAACACTGTGTTATGCATTACTTGCTGCCTACAACAAGATCTCAAGTGAATACGCCAAATCAGCGAGTTTTTGAACGGCAGAACTGTCCTCTGCGCCAAAAAAAAAAACATTATGAACAGATGAACAGTGGCATGAATGAGTACACCAGGGGCCTTTAAGTGTTATGGTCCGAACCTGTGAAAGCCATCTACTATCAATTAGATAGCGTCTTTCAAAGTTGATGAATGAGGAAACGTTCGGTTCACCATTCCGAATTATGATGCACCCATCGTACGTTCACGATGTGTCTTGATAATAATTGTGCTGAAATGATACCTTTGCCCTATCAGGTTGGGACGTAGGACAGTTGGAGTCTCTATTGTTACAAATGCTCGCAGTAAGACGCTAAGCCTTGTAGCATACGCTTGATGTTCTACTATGTATGTCATTGGAAAAATATCTGTGTCCAAGAGAGCAATCAAGGTGACCCTAGTCATGCTGCCGGTTTCGCCCGATATCGCCAGAGATCTCAGCCCTAAACCTGAGTTCGCGATGCACCTCGAGGCGGGACACAGGAACTTTTTGTTCGAAAGAGTAGGCGGTCGGTCGAGGAGGTAGACATATTTCAGGATCTACCGCTGGAAGAGGAATGGGACCCGAATATGCCAGTGGTGCTCGTTGTCCTGCAGCTATCTATCTCACTGATCAGACGTTCTGATCGTGATACTTACCAGGTCCGTTTGTACTATGGGAACCCATACACGCTAACATTCAAAATTAGATCGGCTTTTGTTTCAAACGCCGATGAAAATGCCGCCCGAGCAGCGCTTCGTCAACGTTGAAAAGCTTCTAGTGTCTGAGAGCTTCTAGCCTCACTAAAACTGGTCACGAACGTCGAGGGCACGCCACTCCCGCCTGCGGCTCAAAAAGCTTGGTACAATGTTTATTTCGGCTTTCAACATTTATGAGACTACACTACTGTTGCTCTACAACCATCACTATTCAAAAATCACATTGTAAAAACAGCAACACAATGCCCATCCCTCCACCGGTAGAAATCTCGGAAAGAACTATGATCGCTGCAGAGCCGCATGTGGGCCGCTAAAGGCTTCTCTCGCATTTAAGCTCCACCAAGAATTTCGGCCCGGTGCTTATGTGCCCCACTGTATGCTGTGATATTCCCATCTCATTCGCGACAAGGCTGCAACAATGGGTTGCGCACTTGTGCCTATCAATCGCGCAAGGACCAAGCCGTACGGTCAGGCCTGTCGAAATTTCTGCTGAGGCCGTCCCGTGGAGACTCCACGAATACGTCATTCGGAGAATGAAGGAGCAAACATGGGGAGCAGCTCCAATGTGGGTGTCTCCGCTGGAGATACAAAAAGGCGGAGACGCGTCCTGATTTGCATTGGTCGAGAGAATTGTTTCTCTACTCTTTCTTCACTCATTTTCATCATTAACGCCAACTATGGATGAGAAGACAGAGACCACTGACGGCCGAGCGGCTGAGCAAACACACACTGAGATCCAAACCGCTCCTCCACCAGACTACGCTGCTCCCAAGGCAAAGACAGAACAGCTTGAAGATGCACGTGGCTGGGAATCAGAGAACCTGATCCAGGATCTTGAGAAAGAGCTTGAGCAGAGTGGTTACAAGAAGGGCATGTTTGATCTTGAATTCAAGAACCCTAAGCATTTCACATGGATCCTGGTCGCGTTTGCATCTATGGGCGGCCTCCTGTCTGGCTTGGATCAGTCGCTGATTTCGGGTGCCAACTTGACGTTGCCAAAAGACCTTCATCTTACGGATCAGCAAAACTCGTTGGTAAACTCGGGTATGCCCCTTGGAGGTGAGTCGTATAAATATAATACTCTTTTCTGCGAATCATGACTAATCCTTGACATAGCTGTCGCTGGTGCATTCCTCATCTCGCCATGTAATGAGTACTTCGGCCGTCGTTGGGCCATCATCATATCTTGCATTCTCTATACAATCGGTGGTGCGCTCTCAGCAGGCAGCGTCAGCTACGGCATGATCGTCGCTGCTCGTGTCATCCTTGGAGCTGGTGTCGGTCTCGAAGGTGGAACAGTACCAGTCTACGTCGCCGAGACAGTCGAGAGCAGACTTCGAGGCAACTTGGTTTCACTGTATCAATTCAACATCGCCTTGGGAGAGGTTCTCGGTTACGCTGTCGCCGCTATGTTCATCAAGGTCCCTGGAAACTGGCGATATATTCTTGGAAGCTCGCTTGTGTTCTCAACAATCATGGGTATTGGCATCCTGTTCATGCCCGAGAGTCCACGATACCTGATGCACAAGGGCAAGCCTCTTGAAGCATTCAAGGTCTGGCGTCGCATTCGCGGTATTAGCACGCATGAGGCGCGTCAAGAGTTCTTCGTCATGAAGGTCAGCACGGAACAAGAGGAGGCTGAGGTTGCCGCTGGTCGAACCAATCGATTTCCCTGGATGGACTTCTTCACCAAGCCTCGTGCTCGTCGTGCGATCATCTATGCAAATATCATGATCTTCTTGGGTCAATTTACTGGTATCAACGCTATTCTCTATTACATGAGCGTTTTGATGTCGCAGGTTGGCTTCAACACATACGATGCTACATACATGTCTCTTGTGGGAGGTGGCTCGCTTCTCATTGGAACCATTCCCGCCATATTCCTGATGGAGACCTGCGGTCGTCGCTTCTGGGCTATTGCCATGTTGCCGGGCTTCTTCATTGGTCTCGTGCTTGTTGGTGTCAGTTACCAGATTGAGTCGCTTCAAGGAACTCTTGGTGTCTATCTCACCGGCCTCATCATCTACGAGCTCTTCTTCGGTTCCTACGCCGCACTTACCTGGGTCATTCCTTCAGAGGTTTACCCAACCTATCTCCGTTCGTATGGTATGACTACCTCGACTGGATGGCTTTTCCTCAGCTCTTTCATCGTCACATACAATTTCGTGGGTATGCAAAATGCTTTCACTAGGACTGGCCTGTCACTCGGTTTTTATGGTGGCATCGCAGTCGTCGGCTGGTTCTACCAGATTCTTTTCATGCCGGAGACGAAGGATAAGACCCTTGAAGAGATCGACCAGCTATTTCAACAACCCACAAGGCAATTAGTGAGGAAGAATATCGAGAGCTCTTGGGAGGTTACGAATGATTTATTGCACTTTAGGTTCCGCAAGGTGTTCATTGAGAACAACCAGAGGCGAAACGAGTAAGAAGCGACTATCACTGCTTGTACGCGGGTTCACTCTAGCGAGTGGTGGGCATAGAGATGGCCGGGAGGAAATGAAGGAACATATCACATTAGATGGAAATTGCACGATTCTAGACCTTGCGATAATCATATACCCTTATACCTTATTTCGAAACTAGATAT